GGAACAGCAAGATGCTCTAAAAATCGGAGATCAGCTGCAGATTTGGGGACAGAAAGTCTTTTATTGATAAGTCTCAACAGTCTGAAAAAAAAATACTTGTGCATTTTATGTTGAAGCAATTCTTGAACTAAGGATTGATACAAACATGCCAGCAGTTAGGGAATGCAAGAGGTTAACGGCAAAGCCATTTTAAGAAGAAAAGTAAGCTGATTCATATGCAATGAGGAGAAGAGAAATAAAAAAGGGGGGGATTGTCACCTTGAGATTCTGTCATATTATTAGTTATGAAATAGATATCAGTGGTTCATACCTGTAATTTATCAGAACCGTGCTTGCTCTTTCAAGTATCTGCTTGAAAAGCAAAAAAAAAAAAAAAAAAAAAAAAAAAAAAAAAAGAAAAAAAAAAGCCCCAAAAAACCAAATAAAAAACCAAACCAACAAACAAAAAAACCCCAAAACCAAACCCAAGAAAAGAATGACAGCGTTTCTGTACAGTTCTGCATGCCAGGGTAAAAAATGTCACTTTCCATTGACTGCCTGGCGCGTGGGAGGCACCTGTTCCCCGTTCCATGTCCGAGTAAACGAACGCAGCCTTATCACCCTGCCCCCCCAGGAGAGGAGCACGGCGGCTGCAAAGGACGCGGCACTCCTGCCAGATAAGGCTGTAATGTCAGCCTGGGAATTCTTTGGGCTAAATGTGATTAATTTATCGAGTCTTCCAGCATAAAACATCAATCCCAGGTACATGACCATCCTTGAAGCTTTTTTTTGGACTCCTTTCCCATCTCACCTAATAAAGAAATCTGGCTGGAGTAATGCACTCTGCATAAAAACAGTTTCTAATTACTGCTCTGAAAAAGTTTGAACTGGGGAATGAGAAAGGTTAAAGAAGAAACTTTGCACAAAACAGAAAGGAGTAATTAATTAAAAATATATTAACCAATCACACAGAATCCATTAGTTAATGCTGTTAACTATTGAGCCTGCATAAAATCACCCTATAAAGTGAGAACAGTTTTACTACAGGGTATGTTTCACCTGCTCAATACTTACATTGTCTAATGTTAATCATAAAGTTGCCACCACACAGTTATTTAGAGTTGAAAACCACGCTGTATAATTTAAAAACTCCTTGAAAATACATGGATGATACCCAGAAGATCCTGTGCTATTCACATCCTTTCCCAGTCTTTCATCAAAAACTAGAGGAAATAAAAGATAATTTTTTATAATGTTTTTCCTATTGAATGTACAGCATGGAATTATGTGATTTACCTTTCAACAGCTGAAAATCAGATCATTTAACAAAAAAAAACCAAAACCAAAACAAAACAACCAAACAAACCCAAACTAGACTCCTTCCAGGGACTGAAGCTGGAATAATTTTATTTCAAATCTATTGTGCATTTTATTATGCATGGTATTTATTTGTTTTCGGGGCTTTCCTCAATTTGGACAGTGGAAACACGTTCATCTGTTTCTTTTTTGGCTTCCAGTCGGTTTCACTTTCAGATTCTCATGTTTCACACTCCAGCCTTTAGGTTTCAAGCACTGCAAAGGAACACTTATTCCATTTAAACAAACAAAAACCCCGCGGCCGCCGGACGCACTTACACCACGTCTATTGCTCTGCAGAGCTTGAGCCCATCCGGTCCCCTGCAGCATCTTCCTGATGGTTCTCTGAGATTTGCTGGGAAAATATAAATTAAATAAATAGGAATTATGACGAATTCAGGATTTATTAAAAAACCTCAAGAGCTCTGCAGCGCTCTCCAACAGAGGCCAATAAAATATCATTACATATTATCGATTACACGATAACCGCGCGTCAGGTTCGTGATGAGGAGCCGGACTTGGTGCCCCGCAGAAGTGTCCCAAGACGTAAATAATGCCGGCGGTGTTGCCACCCGGCGGCTGCGGTGGGGTTGGGAGCATCACAGCCCCCTTCTCTCGGGGCTGCAGGGATGGAAAGGAGGAGCGGCTGTCCCGGGAGCCCGGCTCCGCCGCGGCCGCGACGGCAGCTCCGCGGGAGCGCCCGCCCGGGGCTGGGCGCACATCCCCGCGACGTTTGATTTAATAATTTATTATTTTAAATAGGCGAGGCAGATCAGTAACAGAAGGGGAGTGAGTGCGAAAATGGTGGCTTTTGCTGCTATACTGTTGCATTATTTTTGGGGGGTATTTTTGCCTTTTTTTAGGGGGGTGGTGTTTTTTGGTGGTTTTGTTATTGTTTTGGGTTTGTTTTTTTTTTCTTTTGTTTGTTTTGTTTTGGTGTTTTTTGCGGAGGAAGGGTGGTATTTAACATATGGCACTCGGTAATCTCTACACGGAGGCTGTTAAAACATCTGCTGCCTCCAAACGCATGCGGCAGCGCCCGTGGGCACGGGGACAAGGCGAAGGGGCAGCTAGGGTACCCTGGCTTCCGAGGCCGCGGGTCCCTGGCTCCCTGCCTGCCGGCCGAGCTTCCCAGGGACGGTGTTTTCCCGCTGGAAACGGGCACCGAGCACATAAAAGCCGTCGCACCGGGAGAAAGTGTTTTGGTTGTTTTGGTAGGTGTGGGTTCTTTTTGGGTTTTTTGGGGGTCTTTTGGGGTTTTTTTTTTTTGGTTTTTTTTTTTTTTTTTTGTGGGGATATTTTTTTGGTTGGTTGGGGTTTTTTGGTTGTTTTTTTTTTTGTTTTTTTTTTGGGTTTTTTTTGCACGACTTTGTGCAGATCAGCCGCACCCCACCTCCGCTTGCAGAGCTGGCTCTCTTCCATTTATTATTGATTTAGGGAGGGAGGGGTTTTTTTTCCCTAACGGGACATCCCCACCAGCACCGTAGCCGGCTCGCGGTGCCCTCGGCTGCTCTCCCGGCTGCCGCCCTATCGCGGGGCACGGGGGACCCCGCATCCCTTCCCCGCCGTGCTCCAGACATCACCCCACTTCGGAAAGTCGCTGCTGGACAATCGGGACACCCGTTGTCCTCCCCCCCGAAACCCACATAAATCACAATCGCTGCATTGTCGGGCTACAAAGCCAGACGGGAGCGCTTATGAATTTAAGTTTGGAGAAGGAAAACGTGCGCTGACACAACACGCTCCCTGTTCGCAGGAGCAGCCAGGAAGGGGAAATGAGGTGGAAGTTAAAGAGCCTTTCATTGCGGAGCGCGCCGTAGCGGGTCCCGCTCGCCGCCCTCGCCGTGCGCCGGGCTGTGCCCCCTCCTCGCCGCCCGTCAAACGCGAGCCTTGCCTGGCACAGCTCTGCCCGGGTCCCGGTAACCCGCGGCTCGGCCGCCGGGGTCACACACTGTGCCCGGCGGCTCCCCACGTCTCGGCTGCGCCCAGGGGCTGCGCGCTCCGCGGACGGGACGAGGGGTGCGCAGGGATGAGTTTGTGGGGAGATGCTGCTCTCGGCTGTCCCCCGCTACAGGGGGATGGGGGCGGGCGACACTCCCGCTGGCTTTTTGCTGCCCAAGGAGCCCTTTGCTCCGACGGGCGGGTTTGCTGCGGGGGCCGTGTTCCAGGCAGCTTTTGCCAGTGCAGCCTTGCTGCTGGACTCCGGCGAGAGTCGGCACAGCTGTTCCCACCGCTCCCATCCGCTCTGATGCAAAGGGCGAGCGCTGGCGTGGGAGGGGGCGCCGGTGCCCACTCGCGGGCAACAACGGCCGCTCGCCCGCCTTGCCCCCGGTGCCGGCAGAGCCCGTGCGGCTGCCGGGTCCGGCGGTGCGCTCCGGTGAGAGGGCTCCCTCTCTCCCATCCCTCCCGGACTGCTCTCGATGCCCGGGCATCATGCGCCCTTAAAATATAATCTGCCCGGTAACAATCAGCGCGCAGCGGCGAGAGCCCCAGAGCTATTGGCTATGCAAATAGCGGGAGGGGAAGCGGCGCCCCAAAGTCCCCGCTCGCACTTTTAAGGCGGTATTTCCGTGCCCGCCGCCCCCAGCCCACCCTCCGCGCTGGCTGCCGCCGGAGAGCTAAGGGGCGGCCGCTGCGGGGACCCCGCTCCCCGCGGGGCTGCGGCCGCTGCGCGCCCGCCCCGGTAGCGCCTTCCCCTGCGGGAGCCTCCGCTCTGCCGCAGCCGGCAGACACTTCGGAAAGTTGTCGCGTTTTGCAGGCGGGGAGCGACTACCGGCGAAGTACGAGCCGAGTGGAAGTCACCCTGTGTGGGACATAACTCCTCTCACCACCCCCCTCCTCCCCAGCCAACCTTTCTCCCTCCTCCCTCCTTCGCTGCATTTCCTAGAAAGTTGTATCAGTGTGGCCATGCAACGCTAAGACGGTTCGCCTTCTCGAACCACGAATGTGTGCCGGAGGAAGTAGCGTGGTGGTTGTGAGATTTCACCTCGAGGACGCCGCGGAACGCCCACCCCTCAAGAGTTCTTGGGGGGTTTGCTGTTAGCGCGGAGCTCTGTCCCCGTCCGGCTGCACGTTTAAGGAGGTGCCGGAGCAGGGAGAGCGAGACATAGATCTGGCGCCCTGCTATGCCAGGGTATTTCATACGTCGCCCCCATCGTCTGGGTGGGTACCGAGGGGCGCCCACAGTTCCTTGCAATAAGAGAAGGGAGAAGGAAATTGATCGGGACGGGCTCCTTCAGAAGGCAAGTGTGGAACGAGTTTAATTTGGTTGCTGGAAGGAAGCAAAAGAGAAGCTGTCATTTGTGTCTGTGTGTCCCTATACGAGGGCCTCCTGGTTCCTTGTTAGCTTATAGAGGGGGAAAAAAAAAAAAAGCGTTTGATGTTACGTCTGACCAGCTGCTGTTCTCCATAATAACGAGAGAACTGCCTGCCCTGGCGAGTTGCGTCACTTCGCTTCAACTTTAGGCTAGAAATCAAGAGAGGGAGAGACAAGTTTCAAGGGAGGCAGGAGCGAGCTGGAAAGCCCTGCCGTCTTCCTCCCACCCACCTACCCCTCCTCCTTTACCCCTCTCCTATCCCCACCCCCTTCCCCCCCCCCAGGCGGCGCCCCCCCCCCCCCCCCCCCCTTTTCCCCCCCCCTTCCCCCCCCCCCCCCCCCCCCCCCCCAAAAAAAAAAAAAAAAAAGCTAAAAAAAAAAGAGGAAAAAACCTTTCCCATCAGAGAAAGAGGGAGATCTCTTTGGAAACATGGAGCTGCTGTGCTGCGAGGTGGATCCCATGAGGAGAGCTCTGCCTGACCCGAACTTGCTCTACGATGACCGCGTTTTGCACAACTTACTAACCATAGAGGAAAGGTATCTGCCCCAGTGCTCCTACTTCAAGTGCGTCCAGAAGGACATCCAGCCCTTCATGAGGAGGATGGTGGCCACTTGGATGCTGGAGGTTCGTACACCCCGGCCCCTCGGAGTGGGGGAGGGAGAGCGGCTGCGGGCAGCACCCCGGCCCCTCTCCCTCTGCAGCCCCATGCTCTTGTGATCACCGGGTGGCTTCTTATTGTCGATCCCCTCTCCTCCTTGTCCCCCTCCGGAGTTCAGCCGGTGCGGAAAGGGGCGCGGGGGACACCGACAGCCCGCGGGGGAAGTCGCCCCTTCCGGGGGGCTCCGGGAGCGGGGTGCAGGAGGGGAGGAAGCGCGGCGTGGTGGTGGGGGGGGAGAGTTGGAAAAGTCATTTGCAATTAAAAGCAAAGAAAATCCGCCTCCGGGAGCGCTTGTGATTGAGGCATTCCTGGGAAAAAGAAGCAGCACGCGAGGCAGGGCGAGGGTCGGGGGGTGCCCCGTGTGCCCCGCGTTCTGCCCGGCGAGGGTTCCGTGCCCACGTATGCAGTGGGGAGGACGTGTCTTCTTCTCGCCATGTTGCGCTGTATGCGGACTCTGCTCGCAGGCGCCGAGCCCGGCTGCCCCCGCTGCTTTCCGGGGGGCTCGGGAGTGCCCCCCGCCGCCGCGGAACGGGACCCCCGGTATGTCGGGGCTGTGGCGCTGAACCCCCTGTTCGCCCCGAGCTTCAGGCGCAGCGGCAGCGGGCCCGGAGCCCCGCGGACTCGCCTGCCTTGCGCTGGCCCCACCAGCCATCCTTTGCCCCTTCGGATCTCCTTTGGGGGGGACCTTTCCCGAGCCAAACTCCGTGGGCTGGAAAGCCCAGACTCCCTGCTTGGTTTTCATGTGCGATTTGTGCTTTTTCTCCGCGGCTCTGATTTTTTGTAAATTTTTAAAAGAATTTTGCTGCTCACTGTCTGCTAAAGGGATCCAGGCGGCTCGGGATCTCTCCACCCTACCTCGCCCTCGCTATGTCTCCCGTCCTTCCCCCATAACGCGGGATTGGGGGCGCAGGGCTGGGGGACACCCGGCGGGGGAATTTTTACTATTGTCGGAAACGATAGGGGAGCGTCCCATGATGCCATCAACCCCAAAATCGGGACCGCCGGGGAAGTTTTTATATTTTTTATCGATTTTTTGAAAATATGACGAAATAAAAAAAGAAAAATTGGGTCGCAAAGGGAAAAAAAAAAGTCTGAGGCTGCTCGCTTGCTGCTGGATGGGGCTTTTCGGCTCTCCCACATAGTGTCTTGAATTCATTTCTTACTGAATGAACTAAAGGAATGTGAAAGCCGATTGACAGCCTTCCCAGATCTCCCCCTCCCCCAAAATTTAGCTCCCCGGGAAACAAAAATAGGAGCAAAAGCAAGGGAAGTAGTGGTCTGTTTGGTGGGTTCACTAATTTATTTATTTTTTCCTTGTCTTCTTCTCGCTTCCCACCCCTGTTTCCCCCCGACCGCCCCATCGTTCCCTCCCCACGCTCCTCACTTGCAGGTCTGCGAAGAGCAGAAGTGCGAAGAAGAAGTTTTCCCTCTGGCCATGAATTACTTGGACAGATTCTTAGCTGTGGTGCCCACTCGGAAGTGCCATCTGCAGCTGCTGGGGGCGGTGTGCATGTTTTTGGCCTCCAAGCTGAAAGAGACAATCCCCCTCACAGCCGAGAAGCTGTGCATATACACGGACAATTCCATCAAACCCCAAGAGCTGCTGGTAAGCAGCCCCGTTCCTCCCTCCTCTCCGGGACAGCACTTTTCTCTATCTGGCACAGCACTCAGCACTTTGCCACCCAGCCCCCGCCTTTTAGAAAAACCCACGCTTTTCCCGCCTTTCTGAATGGCCAGAAAGTGTCGGGGGCCAACGCTGAGGGTGGGGGACACCCGCGGGGACATCCCTGTCCTCCGAAGCCGCCTGGCAGTGCCATGCGGCGCTCGGGCCGCTGCCCTCCTCGGGCGCTGCCGGGGGCTCTGGGCTGGCGGGGCTGGGGAGGCTCCGTCCCCGCCGTGTCCCCGCGGGGGACCTCGCGGCACCGACTGATGCCCAGGGAGTTCCACCTGAGCGCGAGGAACTTCTTCCCTGGGCAGTGACCGAGTCCTGAACAGATTGTCCAGAGCGGGTGTGGAGTATCCCTCACTGGGGTATTCCAGAATGGACACAATCTTGTGCCCTGTGCCCTAGGATGGCCCTGCTGGAGTGGGAGGTGACACCAGGTCCCACTGTGATGCCTTCCAGCCTGACCCATCCTGCGTGATAAGACTGAGTTAAATTACCTCGTGTCTGCTGCTTCTCTCAGTTCAGATGCAGTGGAAGCAAAGCAAATTTATAATTACTGAAGGAAATAAATTATGTATACATCACAATGTGGAGCACTGGACGTACACCAGGTCCCTTGGTGACATGGATGCTAGGTCAGAGAGAAGGCCATAGCCATCTGAGTTGTTGAAAAATTTTTCCTGTGAATCACTGGGAATTCCCCCTGGGGAGGGGCTGGGGTTGATAATCAAGCTCATGCTTCCACAGAGTTAAAGAGCCTTGCCCTCAAACCCTGCCCGGCTGTCAGGGCCACAAAGTGTCCCCTTGGTGGCACAGATGGGCAGGGGAAGTGCCGTACGGGGTCCCCAAGTGCAAATATGCAGAGCAGTGTCCCTACCTTCTTGTGCCATGTGGATTTAAGCATGTGTTTAAAGTGCTTCTTTGTATTTGGTCCTCTGGGTTGACTGTTGTCTCTCAAAACCTGTCACATCAGTAATGCTGGGAAGAGCAGGCCTTGAGTTCACATAATCGCCGTTATGTTCCAACATTTTACAGGATTTCTGGAGAAATTAAAAAATCCCGTCTGGTTTCTGTGGCCTTTTGCATATATGTGAGATTTTTCAGACCATGGAGGGCTCTGTCATAATCCAGCAGGAATGTCTGTAGGAAAGTAACTTGCTGTTAAAGTGGGCATCTATTCAGGGAAACGACTGCAGAAATGGCATTGTGGGGTCCATGTTTATGGTTTCTCAGCAACGCTGGTTGACGTCTCCGTGGCTGCAAAATTAAAGGACTTTTTTTTTTTTTTTTCTGACTTGCCAGCTCTGTCAGCTCAACTGGGGCTCCCCATCATACTGAGCTCCATCAGGCATCATCAGGACTCTGGAATCAGTGCATGGAATTTATTTAATAGCTAATAATTGATGCATGATACAAATGTGAGCTGGAGGGTTGAGCTTTGCTCGCTCTGTGGGGCACTGTAAGGTGTTCAGAACTCGATTTAAATGTTGAAACATGCAGGTCATGCACCCCATGGCTGGATCTGGCCATTGGGCGCTGTTTGCGCATGGAATCCCATTTCAGGGAATGGCTGGTAGTTATGTACACGCCCAAGCTTTCCTTTGATTGCAGTGGGAGTTTTGGGCGTGCAAAGAATCTGGGAACGGCTCCTACATGATTTACTGGCAGATAATTTACACAGGTTACTTCTTGGCTGTGTTGTGTGTGTTTCCTTTCTGCAGAGCCTCTCTTGGAGTAGTTTAAGCACCATCAGATTTATTTGCAGGACCATTGGAGTACAGTTTTGGGAGGCAGTGCCATCAAGCCAACTTCCCCAGTTTTGAAAAAATGGAATGTATATCTAAGTTATTTTTGTGCATGGCTGTCCATAGGGCTTTAAATGGCTATAAAGTAAAGACTATGGCCATTTAAAAGAAGTTACTAGGAAAGGACCACAGTGACCTTGGCAATATCTAATTGCAGTCTAAACTTTCTGGGTGGGCATTCAGCACTGGATTAAAAAAAAATAAAAATAGAACCTTGGCAGGAGCTGCCAGGTCTCATTATTTTCAGTAGAGCCTGATATTTCTGGTGTTCAAAAAAAAATCAAGTCAACAACTTCAAGCAGTAGAGGCATATGGAAAAAAGGGTTTGAACAAAACAAATTTAGCAGTGATAAAGTTATAATAAGAAATAAACAGAGGTTTTGCATAGGCTTGCTTATGGCTTTTCTTCTCTTTTGCTCTCCCTGTCCACCCTCTGCAGGAATGGGAGCTGGTGGTGCTGGGGAAGTTGAAGTGGAACCTTGCAGCCATCACCCCACATGATTTCATTGAACACATCCTAAGGAAGGTGCCTCTCCCTAAAGACAAGTTGCTTTTGATCCGGAAGCATGCACAAACCTTCATCGCCCTTTGTGCCACAGGTAGGCTCAGCTGCTCTGACTGCTGCTGCTGCTCACAGTGTGGTTGGAAGGGCAGATTTGTTTCTGATGGTGCTTCATCTCCTCCATCCTTACATAATGTGGGAAGGGGAGCTATATCCCATGGGTCTGTTTGCAAAGGGTGTTGTGAATCAGGCCAAAACTGTGCATTGGGCAGAATTCTTGTAGTAGTGATCCGTAGTGCAGCTGACATGTGTGGTGCTTTTGCAGTGAAGTCTTGTAAGACTGGATTAGAGAATCCTGGGTTTTATTTTTGCCCAGTCACTGTTTCTTTTAGAGGGCCACAGATAATTTGTAAGGACAGCTCCAAATACAGAAGCTGTTTTGGTACATTAGCCCAAAATGTCTTGAGCTAATGCATTGCATAAATGTGTTCATAAACTTTTCATTAACTGGATTATTTTCATTATTTGGATCCAGATAAAAGGCAAAATTGTGTATTTTAGCATTTATGTGATACTACCACATCCCTGAAGCACTGGGAATGATAGTTTAAAAGGTAATTACTCTTTAAAAATAATTGGATTTTTTTCCTAGCTTCATCCCAAGAAAGCAGTAAAACTACCGTGTTTCATAGGGAACCATTGCACTCCCTTTTTGTCACATGGCTGAATGCAGTTTCTGAAGATTTCTGTGAGAATAATTGCCTCTGTGGAAGAGAGGCTTTTTAATTTTGACCTGTCTGTAGAACTCTGGGTTTTTTTTTTTTGTGTGTGTTACTTTGTTCTTTGGATTTTTCTCCCTTCAGTTACTTGTACAAAATAGGTGTACTCTGAATTTTCATCCTTAGAAGCTAGACCTGGACTAAATAAACAGCATGCAGTGTTTTCCAGTCATTATCAAGTAGTGGATGGCTCAGTGTTTGAATTCACCAGTTTGATATACCTAGTCCTTTGTGGTAGGAACTGTTCTGCCTGTGTGTTTGCAGAGGGGAAGGGAAGACAGGGTGCAACTTCTGGGTTTGAATGCCTGCTTCTTATATATAAGATGTAGTGACTGCTTTTACAGTGTTGGCCAATTTTTCCTACCTCAGTTGATCTGTTTTAGAGACTTGTATATGGGCTGTGTTAGGGTTATTCTCATTGTAATTCTCAATCAAAACTCATGACTTTTTGGTTGCCATGATGCTCAGACCTTCCCTTCTTTTCCCACTGCTGCGTGATCCTTTTCAGACCAAAGACCACAGGACTCAATAGAAATTTTGCTCAAATTCTGCAGATCACTCTTGGTGATTTCTTTGCCTTCTCCCCTTACTTAGGATGCATTCACTGTTCTGCCTTGTGTGATATGAAAAAAATGGTCTTTCCCATGGACATTTCCCTGCATCTTCACACCATCAGCCATCAAACTCAAATACAGCTTCGTGGTGCCTTCCAAACAAGACAATCTTCCCACTCTTTTGTTGTTTTCACTTCCTCCAATAGTGTTTTGGTTTGTTTTCTTTTTTATCCAGTACATCATTTTCTTGAGAGCTCTAGAATTTCATTATGATTTGGCGTCTCAAATTCTGGTCCATAATCCTTTGCCTTTAAAGTTTTCCATATAACCAAAGCATTGCAAGATGGTGGTCCAAAGTCCATGGAGTTTCCAAAGTCCATGGTTTCTTTCCACTCCATGAATTCTTTGGTGGTTAGCTTCATGCTCTAGAAGTCCTTTTACTGAGATCCAGAGCAGTGCCCCCTTTGCAGCCTTCAGCCCAGTCATGCAGTTCCCTGGTGTGTGGCCTCCATGTGATCTGCTTCTCATGTTATATGTCTCCAATGCATGAAATGAGGTCCTTTGTGTAGAGTTTAAAGAGACAACAAATCAAGAATTTCTTCCCTTAAAATGAAAGCACAATTGCTGAGTACAGAGCTTTCCACAAATGGGGGCACTGTAGTGCTAGCTGGAGATTTCCTTTTCTTCTCATGCCATTGTCCACAGACCACTGTTTAGTTTTGAGGAGGACCCACAACACTTTTTCCTTTTTCCTTTTAAAAGCAGAGATCTTACCCAGGCACTCAATACCACATTCCCACATTACCTGTGAACTGCTACCTCAATTTCCATTGTGGAAATGTTGTTCGTACTACAGAATTTCCCTTTCAGTGCTACTCTTTGAAGAAAAGCCCCTTCTCATCAGACTTCCCTTCCAGATCCAGTTGTCATTTCCTTTTCTTGTCCTGTTTGTTGCTGAGCTCTCATCAGCCGCTCTGTTTCTTCTTTCTCTTTTTCCTTCAGAGCTGCTGCTGTCTGCCAGCTCGGGCTAAGCCTGGTGTTTTATTTCCCTGTTTGCCTCCTTTCAGCAACAGGCCTCCTCTGACATGTGGCTCCCTCTTCCCTTGCTCCCCATGTGTGCTTTTAGCCTGGGTTTGACTCTTTACTATTCCCAAAGCTGACCTGGCTGCCTGGCTAATAGCTCTGATCTGGAGCACAGCAGTGAATCTCTTTCTATTTCCTGATTCATCTCAGCACAGCTTTCTCTGCTTTCAAGTACTTTTCTTCTTGAAAGTATCATCCAAAATCTGGCATATTTTGAACTTCTTTCCCCCAGCCTTAGATCTTCTTCAGCAACTGCTCCATTTAATTTCCCAGCAAAAATGTTTTACCAGAAATTCCCAGGTGTTCCCTGCCTGTACAGAGCTGGCTTTTATCTCAGTCCTGCAGCACTTAGTGTCAGCAAATGAAGAGGGAAGCAGCCATGAACAATTACTGGGTGTTGTGCTGGATGTGTAGGATCATGGTGATACTCATCACTGTTCTCCTTTCCATCTGAACATTCCTCAAAAGGAGGTGATATTCCATTTTTCTACATATTCCTTTCAGTCGTGTTTGCTCACTTTGGCACGCTCTCTGTTTCTCGGCCTTTATTTTGAGCCCAGTTCCTGAATCTAGCTGCGTGGATATAAACCCACGGCCTCTCCCTAGTCCTTGCAGTGATTAATGATTCACATGAGCATGACTGGAACTTTAATGTTTCCCTCTTTGCCCTTGGTCCCATTGGAACATACAGCTGCGGAGCAGGACAGAAGCTTGTGTGTCTCCCTGAATAAAGTTTTCTCTTTCATTGCTCTGCACTCACAAAGGTTTCAGGAGTCTCCAGTTCCATTAGGAGGGCATGGAAGAGGCATTTTCCTCCAGCTGCCTTGTTCACTGTACAGTAAGAGTGCGTAAGAGGACACTATGGACTAGCATGGCCTGATCTGTCACCATGTCATTGTTTTCTCATTCCGCTGGTGGCTCCCTGTGCAAGCCAAAATATCCTTCAGAACACTTCTGGATTTTCAAGCCACCAAGAGGATGCATTTAAGGCCTGTAAGTGGTGCTTATGGCTTCTCTCGTATGAAGAGAGACTGAGGGAGCTGGGGTTGGTTAGTCTGGAGAAGAGAAGGCTGAGAGAGGGTGTCATTAATGCATAGAAATATCTTAAAGAGGGTGTCAGAGGATGGTGCCAGGCTCTTTTTAGTGATGGCCAGTGACAGGATGAGGAGCAGTGGCCATAAACTGAAGCACAAGTTCCACCTCAGCTTGAGGAAGAATTTCTGTATATTAAGAGTGGCAGCTGCCCAGGGAGGGCCTGGAGCCTCCTTCTCTGGAGAGATTCCAAACCCACCTGGACATGCTCCTGTGTCACCTGCTCCAGGGGACCCTGCCCTGGCAGGGGTGTGGACTGGGTGATCTCCAGAGGTCCCTTTCAGCCCTAATGATTCTGGGATTCTTCAGCATGGGACATTCCTGTTCAGCTGTGAGCCCAGTAGAGACCATCCTTGTTTTGCTCTTTGGGTTTGTGTTGCTTTTCAACCCTCCATCTCTTTACTGCTCTGCACCCTTTTTCCTCTGTCTCTTTGCACAGTGCTGCAGAGCTTGGAAATGTTCTGTCAGGGGTTGGCCATTTGCCTGTGCTGAGCTCCAAGCCAGGGAATCACTGCTGGAAGGACTGGGAGAGGACAGTGGTTACAGAGGTGTGTGCAGAGCCTGCCACGCTGCTGCTGGAAAGAGATCTGTGCATTATTTCCTTACACTTGGGTGTGCCCATCATTTTTTCTTGCAGCCTGTTCAGTGTCCCAGATGCACTTGTGTTACACTCTCCTCTCAGAGCCTGTATATGCCACAGTTTTGGTGCAGGATACCCCTTTTTATGTGAGAGCCTGTAAGGGAATGATTTTTGAGAGAGGGTGGCCTGTGCATGACAGGTTTTCAGAAAGAGGAGCTGTAATGGAGATACTCATCTCTGTGAGGAGCTTCACAGGATTTTAGTTGAGTGGCAACCAAAATTTGGAAGCAGAAGCTTTTGCAGACTTGCAGAGATAGAAGGCAGCTTGTGTGAAACCCTGGAAATCCTTTGCATGGTCTTTTCGATGCCTCAGCTGAGTCCGGTGGCAGGTAGGATGTGTCCATGGTGGATCCAGCATCTCAGGCCTCAGCGCCTGTGTCAGCGCAGAGGCCGAGAAAGAGCAGCAAAATGTCAGCTTTAAGTCAATCTCATACAGTGTGCCAAACCTCTGCCCACTGTTTCTGGGGCATTAATCATCTACACTTGAAAGCTGAGAAGGCTTTTTTTAACTTCTGGGCCAAATCCTGCATCCTTCTTCGGACAGACGTTCTGTGGAAGTCAATGGGAGTGTTGTCTGAGTGAGGACTGCAAGATGAGGTCTGCAACCCTGGTAGAGGTCTACAGGGTGACCACACAGAATGAGGCCTGTTTGCTCCTCAGCATTCCTGCTGGGCAATTCTACTCTGCATCCTCTTTTCATCCAGTGTAGGTTACTGGAGCCTGGAAAGTGTGATACAAGTTTTATTTGGGACCTGTTCTTTGCAGAGGGGAAGTATGAAGCCTGTAAAGGCTTCTTTATGTAGATGTCTTAAGAAAGAAAATACATATAAAGTGGCAGTGTTTGCAGGAACTTTGCATAGCAAAAGAAAGAATAATTTGCACTAATTTATTGATAGACAAAAGAAGAAGCTCTTGCGTATTCCAGCTCATATCAGTATATTGAGCTTTC